CAGCCAGTACTTTCATGGGAAAATGCGACCTTTACAGGTGTTGACGTGGGGCGCGTTCAGGTAGCGTCGTGCTAAAGAGGTTTTAATCGCATTCAGCAGTCAGCTTCGAGGTCAAGAACGCGATGATATTTTCAGAAGGAATAATTTTCAAATTTTTTTAAATTTTGGAGAAGAAGCTTCCTTTCTAAAAAAAAAAAGCGTTCCTTGCTTTCACGCAAGGACCCCTTGCCGGACATGTCGTCGACAGCACAGTGTCGGCAGATCCACGTTTGTAGGCTGCAGACCCGGCAGACGTTTTGATCAGCCCGGCCTGGTGGTGAGATTTTGGACCCGGGAGTACTAAAAACTGCTCGCATCCCAGGGTGCTCTGTTTCGCTCTATCCGATCGAGTAAGGCTTCCAGAAAGGCCCTCAGGTGCGCGGCCTGCGATGCCATAATATACCTCCCGTGTATGGAGGCTCACCCACGTTCCGCCAGAACGTGAGTGAAAATCAGAATGGAGCGCATTGTGCAAGCTGTGAGGGTGCTCAGCTGAAGAAGTTTCCGAAGCACGAAATCAAAATATTCGATGAGCTTCTTAGGCCCGGGTAGCTTCGTCTTTGACCAGGTTTGGGCCTTTCGCTTTATGCTTTTGTTTGTTCCGTGTGACTAAACACAACATTGCAACGTGGGTGCCCTTCATCCACTTTACGTGGATCACCCACGTACGCGTTTCCGTTACGTGGGAACTAAACCTCCCTATTACTACTATTGTACTACTCCCTGGTATTGTACGAGGTGAATTGCTATTTCTGGACATTGTACATTTCTGGACATTTCGGGTAAAATAATAATTTTGTCGCGTGTAGAGTCAAGTCAGTCAGGTTGATGAAGTTTTTTCTTGTTGTAGTTGACAGCTGGGCTGTTGTAGTTTCTCCTCGTGTCGGTGCCTTGTTGATAGCCTTTTCTTGGGAGGCATTTCAACGAGTTTTGTGGTACTATGTCGCATGAGAATTTTGAATTTTGAGTAAAATAAGAAGTAATGGACGAATCGTTGGCTTCCCCATGTGCACTCCACTTCAGACGCTGTATAGTCTTGGACCTGTTGGCTGGAAGTGTGAAGAGGCCAACTGCAGTCCACCAATAGAAAAAATAACAAAAATGGTGGAGTATAGGATGCCTATTGACGCTATTTTACTTTCATGTCCAGAATTCCATACACTGAAATTTAGGCCAAAAAATTGGCCCGTCGAAAACATCCTGCTATAAAGTCTCTGGGATCACAGCATGAGCAATTGTCACATATTTGGAAAGATGAAGGATTATGACCTTTGACCAGCACCTGACATTCGCTGACCACATCAGTGCCCTTGAGCGAAAGGTAGGCGACAAGCTAGCTGTGTTTCGTAGAATCCGTGACCGTCTAACAATTGATGCAAAGAGAACCTTCTACTGCGCGTTCATACAGGCTCAACTGGAGTACGGTTCCAATGCTTTTTATCACAGTCTGCAGGCTGGGCAACAAGATCGCTTGACTTGCCTCAGCAACCGTGCAGTTAGAACTGTTTTTGGTTATCCAAGGTTCTGTGACATTTCTACTATTCTAGCCAGATACCACCTAGCTTCTATCTCCTTACGTTTGAGATTCAAATTGTTCGTACTTATTTACAGATCATTACATAAGGTGTGCAGCCCGCTCTTAACAGACTGTTTTGTGACTAGAGTCAATGCCACACACACAGCGTCAATCACCCGCTCGCAGGTTACTCTGTCTCTTGCTCTTCCCCCGGCTAATAACCGCTATGGCTTGTACGCATTAAGCTTCTTAGGTGCAGATCGCTGGAATTCGCTCCCTGCTTCTGTTCGTATTTGCTCCACGCTATCAGACTTCCGCTCATCTATACAAAAACATATAGGGTACCCCGTAAGAAGGCCTTAGGCCTGTGGGAATGCCCTATTAAAAATTTAATAAATAATAATAATAATAATAGGCCATACAATAGATACAAAAAGATATGAAAAATGTAAAACACACGGCCAGTGGGCCTCTATTTTATTTTCGTGTCCAGAAATTGCTATTCACCTCGTACTACTCCCTGATTTTCCATGTCACACTGTACATGTATACATGTAGTATCCCTGCCTTGCTAGTACATGTACCTCTAATCATGTCACGTGTACATGTACACGCACTGCATGATCATTATTATTATTATTATTATTATTATTTATTAAATTTTTAATAGGGAATTCCCACAGGCCTAGGGCCTTCTTACGGGGTACCCTATATGTTTTTGTATAGATGAGCGGAAGTCTGATAGCGTGGTCATAATCTTGTCACCCATTTTGCTGACAAGCCTGCAAAGCTAATCATTTTCTCACCATTGCAAGTCACTTCTTGTGTTGCCCTTGCATACTACCCAGTACCTGTACCACACATGTACTCTCAGCCAAGATGGACAGTACAGAAGACACCGAAATAGCAAGCCGAACTTGACTTGGTCGAGCTGAAACCTTGGCTGAAACCTTGGAATTCGACCGAAAATGGGCAAAATTCAGAAAAAATGCAAAAATGCAAAAGGTACCCCAAAATGCAAAAAATATTCAGAACATTTTTCGGACAGGCCTACCCGTACCCCTCGTTGTTATTTTTGGAATAGTTCAGTCCAGTCCAGTCCGAAAGGTCATACTCGGATCGACTCGCCTTCTGTACTTCACCTCCAAGCGTGCCGCATGGGTGTCTAGTTTTTGAAATTATTGAGGCAGCACATTTCGTTTACAGCCCATCACTCGCCAGTATTCTTTGAAAGACTACCAGCAATTTGTTTACCTCCTGCCATGTCCGAACTAATTGATAGCAGTGATGGCAACAGCAGCAGTTATGAGACGGCGTGTAGTGTTACGGTAACTGTTCAGAACTGTTCAGAGTCGTATCCTAGGTTAATCCGAATACTAAAAATTGACCCAAATTGCACATAGCACGAAGCTGGTTTTTGAAAATTGTAAGTCGTGTATCTGCCCCATTTCTTCTTTATGACTTGCACAATACACCAGTCTTCCTAAACAACACATTTCTAGCAGGGGTTAAGTACCATATAAGAGAAGTACAGCCAGTGATATTGTCATGTTGAAATACTACAATTTTGACACAAATTACACATAACACGAAGCCAGGTTTTGAAAAATGTAAGTCGTGTATCTGCCCCATTTCTTCTTTATGACTTGCACAATGGTCCAGTCTGCCTAAATAACACATTTATAGCAGGGGTTATGTACCATATTAGAGAAGTACAGCCAATGATATTGCCATGTCTAAATACTACAATTTTGACACAAATTAGACATAACACGAAGCTGGTTTTTGAAAATTGTAAGTCGTGTATCTGCCCCATTTCTTCTTTATGACTTGCACAATACACCAGTCTTCCTAAACAACACATTTCTAGCAGGGGTTAAGTACCATACAAGAGAGCTACATTGTACATCTAGTCATACTGTCATAAACAGCCAGCATTTTTCCTGCAGCAGTCACACCACCATCATCATTATTCCCAGGGAAATCCTCTTAAATACATTGTCAGCTCCTACGTCGTTAGATACAATGTAGGGGGCTGTAGGACCGGCTCGTCAAAGATAGAGAACCTGAACAAGCGTGCTCGGGACGTCTCAGCAATCGTAGTATGCCTGAGCACTCCAATAAAAAAAAACCTATTAAAAATTTAAAAAAAAAAAAAAAAAAAAAAAACTTGATCAATGGCAAAATCGTTCCCCACAGAAAAATCATACTTTGCGGGTCTCGCGTTGCACGCTTGGAGGTGAAGTACAGAAGGCGAGTCGATCCAAGTATGACCTTTCGGACTGGACTGGACTGAACTATTCCAAAAATAACAACGAGGGGTCACGGGTGCGAGTCAACCCCTGTGACACGGATTTCTGTGCCGTGTCACCTCCCTAGTTTGAGTACGACTCCCTGATTATAATGCATGTGCATGTATACAGGCGCTAGCGCTAGCGCTAGGCGCTGAGTTTACACATTTCTGGTCGAATTCCCCACAATCCCGGCGTTCTTTCACGCTTACCAAACAACCCCGCCCTTCTTCTCCAGTGCCATGTACAAATTAATTATTTTCTTCAGACTTATTTTAAAGGATTCCCCGTCTTTGACCCTGGACCAGGGAGTTGTATGGTGTACTGTTTGACAACTGGGAAATGCATGAAAGAAGGTACATGTACAGTCAACTTCGCTTTTAACGACACTCGGCGGGGCATCAGAAAGGTGTCGTTATTCACGAAGTGTCGTTATACCCGAAGTCTCATTATATGTATTACAGTTGGATGGGACTTTGCTCTGGGCATGGAAATTCAGTCGTTATTTGCGAATTGTCGTTATATCCGCAGTCGTTAATAGCGAAGTTGACTGTATGTGCTTGGCCAGCCTCCAAAGCAACCGTTGAAACCATTAGTAGGCATTGCCAGTCAGGGGCAGTGTCTGTACTTGGTCGATGCGGCAATAATTTTATCCCGTGTAATTTTTGGAGCCGCTGAATGAAATTATTAATTTAATGATTTGGGCTGTTTGGGGCCAATTCTTCTAAAATTCTCCCGGGGGAGGACCCCACGCCCCACACCACTGAATGCCGGTAGAATATCTTCCGATAACCTTGAATTGGCAGTACGGTACGGTCCACAATCAGTACTGCGTGACATGTACACGTGCACAAACTCAGTCCCGTCAGTGACCATGGTGACCATGACTGGGAAACTGAGCCGCTCAGTTTGCGGCCTAAGTTCTAAGTTCTGCACGGTCTACCCGGTGCAAAGTCGTGACCCTGGCACTGCTACTCGGAGCCCGGTCGGCATTACTGATGCCTGAGCCGGTTACTGGTCCATACCGGCATCTGCATGCATCCGATCAACTCACTGGCGTACAAGTAGCCAATTCCGAGGTATCATGACTCGGGCGAATGCGGTCGCCCGTGACCGCAACCACCATACAGGATAGCAGCAGAGTCACTCTCGAG